TCAGCTGCAAAAAAAGTCAACACTGTATACTATAACAGAAATGGAAAAATTCCTACGTGGGCCATAGGAAGTTCTGGCTGTTTGTTACCTAATGATCAAACCATCAAAAAGATCCTATGAATGCCCACCACACATGTACACCTTTTCATTGGTCACAGGCTACAGACGGCGCCACAAAAATCCATCTGACTTATTTCAGATGAGTTCATCAGCTGTAGTGACTCCACATCTACGTACGTTGTAAAGGCGATGAAATAATTTGAATGAAGTGGAACTTAACTGCTTATGTCCAAATTAGAGCACTTCAAGAAGGTGCTGCAATACCCACGTAGATCGGCGCTAGTAACGGATAGAAGCGTGAAGAACCGACCCAGGAAAGGCACAAATTAAACAACTGAACGCAGCTAAACGGTTCCCAAGAATGAAGCTTGAGATTCACATGAGCTGATAGAATCGTCCACGACAGAGAACAATCCTTATCTGCATCAGTTCTGGCAGAGTCAAGGGGATCGCCTAGAGTCAACGAGTTAGGACCTGATGGGGTTTAGTTCCCTTTCTTTCTATTTTTATCTTTTTTTTCACCTTAACATTATCTTCAAATTAAGCTGGGTGACGAGCCAGGTACAAGGATGTGGTAGCCCTGCCACATAGCACACGTACCTGCCTACCCAGTGCAGGTTTGGCTTCCACAGCCCTGGATCACAAGGGCAGCCTGTAGAGTTTCACTCCTGGGAATGCATATGAATTGTGTCTAAATCTGCAATAGTCTACGTGTACAGGGATAGTCAGTGGTTTCCTCTATTCCTTGCCGATCCTCCAATCTTACTACCAATCTACCAGTTGGGTCTGTATGTCATCTTTAATGATCGTTAGCCAGTAACCATGTGATCTAAGCTGCCAAGGCTGGAAGTTTGTTATTTTTTTTTCATGGTCAGCAAGCAAGATGTTCTTCCATCAAATGAATAGCATGATTTGGTAAGGCCGACGTGTTCCTGGTTAATTTATGTGTAATGACAGGTCTACTATGAGGTCTACTATGAAGACCACAGATAATATAAATAGAGTTGGTGTAAAATTGGTCAATGGTGATGATCTAAAGATTCCTGCTGTATCCATTAACGAACAGGAGTGAAATTACTCGTATGCTAATGTACTTGTGGAGTCCTTGGAATAATTACTATAGGAGGTTAGTTGTGAGGAAGAAGAGATTTGTCAGTATCAGAACATCTTTTGACTGAATATAAATACTACAAAAAAAAGGAGCGGGTTTCATTTTTTAGGCACCACAATGCTGCAGAAATCTGGTTATACCCATACACACAAGTGATCTCCAGTATGGCGGAACATCCCTTATCTGACGACCTCTCAGAGGATTACTAATATACGGCAGAGCAGCTTTGTTGAGTGGAATCTTGGACAGTTCTTCACTATGCAGTTTTCTGGAGATGTCATATCATAAAATTTGAATATAAGCTCTTTGTAAATTTGCTTACTTATGCTGGACAATTTTTATGCTTCATATATGGTGCTGCCCATGCAACTTTTTTTGGTAGACCTGAAATTAATAAAATACTTGTCAAGTTATATTGGAGTCTCAACCAGTTAGCGAGATTTCCCCTCGCTTCCTTTCCTGTTCCAAGCAGGACAAAAAAGGAGGGGAGCAGTTTTGACCGGGACAGACAGACTATAATGTTGTAGACTGTGACACACATGGAGATACCCTTACAGAAGGTAACTCACTGTATTAAACAGACAGGGGTTTCATCCGTACCCATCCCCATCTAAACGGAAAACAGATTTCTGGAGTTGAGCTTTAACCCTCATGGCAAAGCACAGATCTAAGTGTGGAAGCAAATTACATCCCATCAGATTTCAATTTACACTGGTAAGATCTGTGCAATATATCCTCTTATTGGTTGCTGCTGGATCATGGAGGCTGCACTTTGCAATACTGAATGAGACTGGGAGATTACTGCATGGTGGAGAACCCATACATACCAGTGAACAGCCAACTGTGGTATGTACAAGCTGTATAAGCACACAGTCTAACTTGCATATCATTTTATATACACACACGCCCCCTTTGACTGATTTGCGACAGCCTTCTCTACATCTGAGACTGCACCGAAGCCTATCAAATGATCTTTTGGCTAAATGACACATCCCCTTGTAACAGCCTATCAAATCACTTGTCTGATGGAGAGCTGTGTAGGGAATTGTGAAGTGGCTCCTCTCTCACCCTCTATACGGATTATAAAATTCCATTTAAGGAAACGCATCATCATGTACAACCGAGGCCATTGTACCAACTGCCAAGAAACCCCAATCTACAAATGGATTTAAATGAAAGAAATAAAAAAAATTTCCACACTACATTTCACTATAATAATCTGCTAGGCCTGATTTGTGATGGATTTATTGTGAAAGCAGCCTCCAGGGTCTGATTACACGCTAGTTAAAAAGAGCTAAAAGATGTAATATGCCGCACTTGATCATGTTCGATGGAAACACAAGCAACCTAGGAAACACTACATGCCCCAGCATTCCCTCACAGCTTCTACTGATAAGCAGGCTTATTTAAAAAGAAATGTTGCTACAAGGTGGCCTATGAAGGTGAGAGACGACCACTGGTTCTGCCTCTATAAGCACCTACAGCCATTGGACTTTGGTTTGATAAGCAGAAATGATCCAGCCATTCAAATGCCTTAGGTATTATTTTGTTGCAAACATGCCAAATTTGTCTGAACATGTTGGGCCTTTGGAGGAAAGAGAGAGGGGGTCACTCAAGAAAATCCCCAATCTCAGTGGAAGACCACATTGATCACTCACAAACCAGGGTGGTCGATTGAGCAAAGGCGGAGTGGAAAGGGAAGCTGTTAAACAGCACTTCCACTCACTACCAGTAAAATAATAGCCAGCGACACCAATGTTATGGTAATGCTATTATTACAACCACTGACACCAATGCTGGGGGTTATTATTACTGCAATGGACACCAAGGCTGGGGGTTATTGAAGACACCGACACCAATGATATGCTAATTATATTATTGCAGCAACTGACACCAATGCTGGAGGCTGTTATTATGTCCACTAACACCAACGCTGGGGGTTATTACTACTGCAATGGACACCAATGCTGGGGGTTATTATTGTGTCCACTAACACCGATGCTGGGGGTTATTGAAGACACTGACACCAATACAAATGCTGGGGTTATTACTGCGACCACAGACACAATTCCTGGAGTTACTGGACAGACATTTTCCATGTGTCACAGCCCATCCATTTTC